TTGTATGGGTGACTGAGAGTAATTAGACAGAAATGAGTAACCACAGAGGGGACGGAAGCTTTGAGACAGGGAAACTGTTATGTGCAAAATCCACATAGAGCAGGATGGACGTCCACTGGATGACTAGAAACCACTGCAGAGCACTCTGGAGTTCTTCTGATCACCTTCGCTTCCTAGGCCCTTCCTGGATTGTGCGGTAAGTATCCATAGCCAGAAGTGCCATCACCTACAGGGAATCCCAAAGGGAGACGATATTTTGTCTAGCCTATAAGCGAACAGCTCATTCACTTTTGGGTCCTGTCTATACTGACAGAAGCCCCTTGGTAAGAATGCTTGATTCTATCGCCATCTCTGTCTGTCTGTCTGTCTCTCTCTCTAGATAAATACACACGCACCATCACACCACCCAGGGGTCTTTTGGTCTGAATCCCCCATAAACATGTGTACAATAGCACTGCACTCGGCCTGTCCATGCTAACCATCATGACTCCACGGGGCATTTCTGTTGGAGATGGTACAGTTCCCATGAGTCCCTGTGACAACCCCCAGAGAGGAGAGAACAGGAACTCTGCTGTTTAAAGGCAGATAGAGTTCAGCAGGCTATCTTTGACTACAGTTGTTCCTTTGGGGATAGAAAAAGCTGAACTTGGAAGTTATTTGTGGAGACTGAATATATACAGAGAGAGAGGGAGTCAGTCAGACAGACAGAGACAGAAACAGACAGGAGACAGAGAGAGACAGAGAATGAATGAGCAGCCTGGAAATGGATTAGCAACCTGGAAGTCAAGGTTTGGCAAAAGTGATAACCAATGGGTAGTGGTGTTTGAAAAATTTGGGATCAAGGTATCCACAGAAAGGGGAAACCTGAAATTAGCCCTTGTAGCCCATCAACCAAAACGAGTCCAAACATAACTAGGAACAGGTCAGAAGAAAGCAAACCCAGGAATCTGGACCCTTTAGAGGCGACCAACTTAGCTAAGGGTTTTCTGTTCCTCCTCAAGGCCAGGCTGGTGGAGGGTCCTGCCCAGTGTGCTGGGGGCTGGCGAGGGTGGGGGGAGGCTAGAGCCTGGGCTGGTGGGGAAACAAGGGGCTCAGATATCCTGCAGAGGAGACACAACTTTGAAAAGAGGCTTCAGGTCATGAAAGGCTTGGACTGCTTCAGTGCTTCAGGGTTTAAATTATTTTTAGGTGGCTGCCAGTGAAGTGTGAAATGTCCTCTGGGATTTGATATAACACTCATTAGTTTAAATCTGACGTTATATCCTTCACTGTCCCTTGCCTCCTCCTTGCTCATGAACTATGACCTCAGCCTAGCCCAGGTTCTTAAGATTTTTAAGGTAGACAATCAAACTTAGGTAAACATCCCCACCAGAGAGAGTAACCATGGGCCCAGCTTCCTCCTGAAAGTGCATATATATATTTAGGTCAAACATACAATCACAACCCTTGTGTGTTACTGGACTTGCCTTATGTTGAAAGAGAACGCTTTGTTGAGGAGCCTGAGTGCCCTGGAAGGAAGTTGCTCAATCTAAGTGGAAACCAAACCCCTAGCTTTGGTTTCCTCGGGAAATTTTGCAGTAACTGCTTCTCTATAATTAGTTAGCGCGGGCTAGGCCTCAGCCTAGACCAGCCATAGCCTAATAGACGGGAGCCGTGCGTAGACCTAGAGCCATCCAGCAGGTCGCTTGTGCCCATCCTGGAGCCTGGAGCCTCTGAATCTTGCAGATTTGCCTTTGAAGAAATCACCCCGTCTGGGAGTTTAGCAACTGTTTTTCTAAGTCTGCTGCAGATCCAAGAGAGAGAGAGGAGGTGGAGGGAGGGAGCGGGAGATGACGGTTTGGTGCAAAGCAGGTTCACTTCTACCTCTTGTCTGTAACAGGCCCACATTTGAAAGCGGATTCTGTTGTCAATTAAAGGGGAAAACGATGCGGCGCCTGGGGGGCTCCGTCGGTTAAGCGTCTGCCTTCGGCTCAGGTCATGGTCCCAGGGTCTTGGGATCGAGCCCCACATCGGGCTCCCGGCTCGGCGGGGAGTCTGCTTCTCCCTCTGCCTCTGCTGCTTCCCCTGCCTGTGCTCTCTCACTTGCACGCTCTCTCAAGTAAATAAAGAAAATCTCTAAAAAAAAATAATAAAGGGGAAAAGGAGTTAACGATTACAGATCTATCTTTGTTTTTTCATTGGTGAGGAAATAAGCCCAGAGAGGTTAAGTGGCCTGAGGTTGTGAATTTACGGTAAGTGGCTGAAGCTTCTGGCTTCCTGCCCAGGGCCTGTTCTCACAACTGAACCACCCACCACCCCCACCCCCACCCATCCCTCCACAAATAACACTGAGGACAGCAGAGCGACAGGTGACAATCCACCAATCACTCAATCATCTACTGCTATTAGGCCAGCAGACTGCGCCAGCACCTTGAGGCCCAGAAAGTCTTTAAATCATGTCATCTTTGCCGCAAAGAGCTTGATCTGTACTTTGAGATGTGACCCATATTCAGAACGTGTAACTATCAGTGCAAAACCAGGACGGAGGAGTGTGGAGATCGATGCCATGGCCATCGGAGGCGGGAGAGCGCTCTCCCGGGTGGGCTTCACAGAGGAGGTGAGCCCAACCCTGAGCCTTGGAGGATGCATTCCAGACACAAGGGCAGGAAGGCAGCCTAGGACCCTGTAGGAACAGTGTCAGCAGCACAAACAGAGGGGTCCTTGAGGACCTAAGGGGGTGTCCTGGCATCGGGGTTATGTTCACACTAGGGGAGATGGCCTGGACCCGCCGGCTTCTCCCCTCCCCCTTCCCCCTGACTGATGGGAAAGTCACAGTAATGCAGTAGCTTGTCAACACCCACCGCTGGGTCCTCAGATCAGACCTTCATCACCCCTCCACCACCAGCCTTCTCTCTGCTCTTCTAGCCCGTGATCTAGCTTCCCTACCCTTCTAATGGCCCCCAGAATTCTCTTGCTAAATAGCCAATTACTATGTCCTCACTCTGCTTTTAGACCCAAGCAACCCATTGCCTGTAGGATAAGTCCATACTCCTTTGCAGGGCAGACGAGGCCCTGCAAAGTCTGACTATGCCTACTTTATGTGCCCTCCCCTCTTGCATCCTCGGATCCAGGCTCATGGCCTCATAGCCCCTTGCTATAAACAACATATATTACCCCCCATGAGGGTAATGAGAACTGAGTCCTCCATGCCTCTCTGGCATAGTTCCTTCCTCACAGAAAGTCTTTGGGACTATTTATCTTGTAATTTTCTTTGAGACTCACCTCAAATGCATCACCTCCTCCATGAAGCCTCCCTGTCTTGCAGCTCAGGTTCCCAACCCTAAGCTCTGATATCACATTGTTGTTCCTGTTCCCAAATTTGTTTAAATATCTACTTCTTCTGTAAGCCAGAGCCAAGTGCCCAGGGCCTGATTCTCAGTCTGTTATGCCCAGGGCCTGGTGTAGCTCATTGTTCATAGAGTGTTGCTTAACAAAGATCTGCTGAATGAATGAATGAATGCGTGGAAAAGTATGGTAGAGAGGAGTAAAAAATGAAGCCAGATTTTCAGGTTATTGGGGCAAAATGCATAGAGGACACTCTGTGCAGATGTGGCCCCACAGAGAGGCCAATTCTGTCCCCAGAATGGCTGGGATTTGCCCTGCTGGGGTCTTCCCCGCTCTATTACTGAGCTCCCATCCTCCCTCTAGGGGGTGCAGGGAGGGCACCCCTGGTCCCAGTTGACTGCAGTGATCACAACAGCAGACATTTCACACACTTTAAAAAATCTATTTTGATGGTAAAAGCCAAAAAATAACAGAGAAAGTCAGGACGAGAAAATGAAGTTAGCCATAATCCCAATGACCTCAGTACAATCAACGATATTATTTTTCTATTTCCCATCCAGTCTTTTTCCTTCTGTCTTGCGATGGTTAATTTTTTTAAGATTTTATTTTATTTATTTGAGAAGAGAGAGAACATGAGTGGGGGGAGGGGGCAGAGGGAGAGGGAGAGGGAGAAGCAGACTCCCCGCTGAGCAGGGAGCCTGATGCGGGGCTCAATCCCAGGACCCTGGGATCATGACATGAGCCGAAGGCAGACGCTTAACGACTGAGCCACCCAGGCGCCCCTTGTGATGATTAATTTTGTATGTCAGTCTGATGGGCTAAGGGATGAACAGAGGACTGGTTAAACATTATTCAGGGGGTGTCTCTGAAGATCTTTCTGAAAGAGATTAGCATTTAAATCAGTAGACTGAGTAAAGATCGCTTCACCAAAGCACAAGGGCTTAAACAGAACACGAAAGCAAAGGAAGGGTGAATTGTCTCTCTCCTCTCGAACGGGGACGTTCGTCTTCTCCTGCCCTTGGCCGTCAGTGCTCCTGGCTCTCAGGCCTTCAGACTTGGACTGGTACTTACACCATTGTCTCCCCTGGATCTCAGGCCTTCGGGTTTGGACTGAGATGGACCCCGTGGGCTTTCCTGGGTCTCCAGCTTGCAGACAGCCCACTGTGGGACTTCTCAGCCTCCAAAATTGCTGAGCTAGTTCCTCAGAATAAACCTCTTTCTCAAACATTGACATGTTGCACATCTTAAACTTACACAATGTTATATGTCAATTGCATCTCAGTAAAGCTGGGAAAAAAATCTCTTTCTGTGAACTTATTAATGTCCTATTGGTTCTGTTTCTCGGGAGAACGCTAATTCATGTCTAGGGTTGCAATTATGGTTTTTTATCTACTTTTTTTTTAAAGATTTTATTTATTTATTTTGACAGAGAGAGAGAGAGAGGCAGCGAGAGAGGGATCACAAGCAGTGGGAATGGGAGAGGGAGAAGCAGGCTTCCCGCTGAGCAGAGAGCCCGACGTGGGGCTCGATCCCAGGACCCTGGGATCATGACCTGAGCCGAAGGCAGACACCCAACGACTGAGCCACCCAGGCGCCCCGCAATTATGGTTTTTTAAATATAGGATAGAAGCAGGAGATCAAAATTCTTAAGAACATCTCTTTCGTTTCCCTTCTAGTGTTCTGCATACAATGGGCGCTCAATAAGTAATTTTAAGCAGACGGACATGTGTCCTGACTAAAAGCTTTTTTCAAAGGTAACGTCACCACTGCTGTGACCCTTCCAGAAGGAAGCCTGTAATCACATCGCTCCAGTGCCCCCGGCTTTCTCTATTCCTCCCTTTTCTTCAAATTTTTCAGTACTCAACCAGTCATTTGGTCAACAAACATTTAGTGAGTGCCAGTGACGGAGTGGGCCCAATGATGGAGTGGGACTAGTAAGCTAGTCCCCCTGCTTACTGCCCTGTGACTTTGCTGGCCTGCAGCCTGTGCGTCCACCCTTGTGACAATCCTGCGGCCCCAGAGTCCCCTCGAGACCTTTTATTGGTGGCTCATTGCTCAGCACTTCTCCAGTTCAAACGAAACGTCCATGTGTACTCAGGTTCCTTCTTTTGTGTGTGCTGCACCCAGAAGCAAAATAATTGTCCAGCTGTCCTGAGAACAGCCAACAGTTGGGATTGTGTCAGCGAGTCTTTGTTCAGTTCCTATAAAGGACAGTCTATTAGGTAATAATCCGTTCCAAATGGAAAACATGTCTTTCATAAGGCCTGAAATTAATTATTGCCACATCCCCCTTCAGGCCCACAAACAGTTCTTTCACTATGAAAGAACAAGCTTAACTAAGTAGAAGGAGTCTTAAAAACATCTTTTCTAGCTTTGAAAATCATGGGATCTGGCCTCGGAGACAAGCAAAGGATGACCACACATGAGGAGCACTCCCTGAAGACAGGCAAGCTAGAGGAGGCTGGTTTGGGGAGAACCGGCACCATCCTTGGAGGGAAGCCGTGCTTCTCAAACTGCTCTTCTTCTGTGCAGGGAACATCAGTGAGGGTGGGCTTGTGAGGGCGAGGCTGTCACGGGGCAGCGCTTGGGGGAAGGCATTGCCTAATGCAGGTGAACACTGCACGAACTTAGGAGGAGTTCATCTCAAATCCCGACAAGAACCGTGTAAACCTGTGGCAGGTCAGAGCTCATCAGCCTCCCCCATAAACTCACAAGCCCAGGAAGAGGCAGGAAAGAAAGCCACATTTCTTACACGCCAGTGCTCCTGAAGGACAGGCAGCTGCTGATCAGGGTGTCCTCTGGAACTTTCTGTAAGGTGCACATGTACACACACACACACACACACACACACACACACACTGTCACGGGCTCAACTCTGTCTCCCTGATATTCCCATGTTGAAGTCTTAACTCCCAGTACCTCAGAATGTGACTACGTTTGGACACAGGATCTTTAAAAGAGGTATTTAAGGTTAAATGAGGTCATTAGAGTGGGTACTAATCCACTATAACTGGTGTCCTTACAATAAAATGAGATTAGGACACAGACACACAGAGGGACGACCATGTGAAGACACAGGGAAGACAGCCATCTTTAAGCCATGGAGAGAGGCCTTAGAAGAAGCCAAACCTGCTGAAGGGGAGACTATGCAACCCCAGAAGGTACTGCTTTTTGATTATTTTGAGCTTAAGGCAGTCAAGACACAGAACGTTCAGAGAAAAATTTTTCTCTCTCTCTTAATTGCCTAGAAGAATTTAAATGGGGGCCTGGCATAGAATGACAGCAATGGCCAGAGATAACTTTCTTATCTGAAAGACGAACCTGCAAGGCTCGACAAGCATCCGCTCTTCTTGTGGACTGTGTCGTGGATCACCTCCCTCCCCCTTGAAGCCCCAGGCCTCTATCTGCTCCTTAGCTTAGGATGGCACAAAAGTCTCGGTTGCCTGACTGCCTTAGGCTCTCATATTTTTATGTGGCTCCTGCATGTACAAAATTAAATTTGATTTCCCCCTGTTAATCTATCTTATGTCAACTTATTGGATCGGTGAAGAACCTAGACGGGTAGAAGGAAAATATTTCCTCCCCTACATGGTCAACACCTTGATCTCAGACCTCTAGCCTCCAGATCTGTGAGAAAATTTACTTATATAGTTTAAGCTACTCGATCTGTGGTACTTTGTGGTAGCCCAAGCAGGCTAATACACCCACTCACACACATTCACCAACTCTCACACTCACATAGAAACTCACATAGAAACACTCTCACACACTCATACACACACACACACACACACAGACTCACATACTTATACACCATCCAGACTCATGTATTCAAACACACTCACACATACATCCTCACACACTTATACACACACAAATCACATACCCTTGTATACTCATCGACCCAGACATGCTCACACTCATCTCAAACACACTCACACATGCTCTTGCTCACTCCCACGAATCACACACACAGACTCACACTCACTCACACAATCATCCACATAGATGAATACACTCTCTCTCACACACACACAGACTCACATACTCACTCACACTCTCACACACTCATCCACACACTCATCTTCCATCCCCACCCACACCACCTGTGTAGTTGTTGCTCCACTCACACACCCACACCCTCACACCCACTTCCCTGAGCCCAGGGACTTGGGCTGTTGTGGCTCAGGCCTGTACTGAGGCTTGTTCCCTTCTCTTGCTCCCTGTCAAGCTCATTCCCCTTGCTAGAACCTTGGATCCATCCTGGAGCCCTTTGCCTGGGGTCTGACTTCTTGCATTCTGGCACTCCCTGGGTACCTGGCCCTTGGCTCTCCTGTCTCCAACCTTGGCCTGAACAGGAGCTGGGAGGCCTAGATTCTATTGACCAGGGGCAAGGAGCACACACTCTGAGCCTCAGGACTCTTATCTCTAAAATCAATAATGTAAGCTAGCACAGTGGTTCTCCAAGTGTGGTTCCCAGACCAAGAGCAACAGGATCTCCTGGGACTTATTAGAAATGCACATTCTCAGGCTCCACCTGGACATACTGAGTCAGAACCTCTGAGGGGTAGAGCCCAGAAACCTGCATTTTAATGTGTCCTTTGGGTAGTGCTGATCCAGGCTAAAGTTTGAGAACCACTGAACTAGAAGATCTCTAAAATTTCTGCTAGGGACTAAACTTCCCAGACTTGCTATGGGTATTGTGTGGTAATCATGAGGGGAATTATTAATGAAAGGCCTTCAATGTGTCCCTTCCCTCCCAAACATTAGCTCTACAATCCCCTAAAGGAGGTATCATTAAAAGTGTTTTCCGGATGAGTGAAATAAGGCACAGAGAGGCTAAGTAACTCAGGAGGGGACACACAGTGGGACATGTGCAAAAGGGGGACTGACATGGAGCCGCCTCACTGTGTGATCTCTATGACAGTGACAAGTGCCTGACCTCTCAGCACTCAAGGAATGTCGTTTGCTGGTGGTGCTGTGACCCCTGCGTACCTGCTCTTCCCACCGTAACCGGCACGGCTTGCGTCCACCACTGCCTACGTGAAGTACCTTCCAGCTTCTTCCCATCCCTGCCCCCAGATCCGCTTTCCTCTGATTTCCACAGTAGTGAACACCGAGGCCTCCCCGCCACTCCCCGGCTGCCACGAGTCCTGGAGCCAGCCTGGCTACTGTAGGAAAGCGGCTGTCCTCAGTTCCAGACTGTCAAGGCCTAGAAAAAAAATGCATCCTCTCTCCTCATAACCTCCCCTTAAAAGAAAACCTCCTGCAGGCAGAGGTGGAGACTGTCAGAGATTCTACCCTCCTCACAAAATTCCAATACCGGTGGAAGAAACAATGCTTTTGTAATGTTTCCCTAGATGAGGCCTGAGGCCTGTGGGCACTGAATGGAAGGTGAGCCCTCTCCTGGGATAGGTGTGTGTGGGTAGCTGGATCAGCCTGAGGCACGCTTTGCCTCTTTGGGGTTTTAGAGAGGGGGCCTCAACATGCTGCTATTCTTAGCAATGGCTGCTGGTCTGTCCCCCACCAGGAAGACCGGGGTTTTTTTTTCACTGCTCTGGCCCTTGACCACATGCATAGAGGTTTCTAACCAATATTTGTTGATTGAATGAATGAATGTTGTCCCATCTACCGGCTTCTACCTCATGGGGGAAATGCGCACGCACGTGCGCACGCGCGTGCGCGCACACACACACACACACACACACACACACACACACACGTGCTCTGGGGCTAATGGAGGACAAGGAGGCCTTGACAAGGGGAAGGTGGTGAGGGGCCAAGACCAAAACGTGAGGGGCCGAGGGGCGTTGAGAATGGGTCTCTGCACAGTTGAGGTCTGAAAAAAGAAGCGACGCTGAGGTTAAAGGAAAAGTATCATAAATTGGAAAATCGGGCCCGAGACCGGAGAAGGATGTTTTTCAAATTATGGGTGAGGTCTGCTTACAAAACTTATGATTTGTGTCGAGGGCAAAAAGGTCACTGACGTGGCTTAAGAGGGCACCAGGCCAGCGCACTTTCCTGAGAGCCTGGGTTCACACCAGCTGTGGGGTTGCCTTGTGGCCAGGACTAATTTGGTAACACGCAGAGGTGCACCAAGGCCGGGGAGGGGGGCCTCATGGGCTGGACTCTCACCCGAAGTGACACGAGCTTCAGTTCCGCTTTCTGTCTGCAGAGAATTCCTGCCCTGTTTGTCATTTCAGGAAGGCGATGCTTTGCATCACGGTATGCACGGTGCACCTTGCCCAAGACTGCGTTGCAACATGACCAGGCGGAGACTCCATGCCCTCTGCGACCAGATGAAGCCTCAGTCCTCCTACCCCAAGCTCCTTCTCTTCAGCTGGGCTTGGCCCCTCCGTGTCAATGGGCCATCCGGAAATTCCATGACCCAGGGCCCCTGCGATCAGTAGCATGGGCTTGGCTCACCTTCTCTTGCTATGCTGCCCACTGTCCTCTTCTTGGACCTGCTCAGGTTTGAGCTGGTGTGTTGCTACTGCCCTCTAGACGCAGGTAATGGTCACTGAGAGCGGCTCCCAAACAGAGGAGTATTGTGGACAAAACCCCAGTTAAGGCAGGCAGCAGAAGACGGCAATCCGTCAGCAATTTTGCAAAGATAAGCTTGTGTGTCAGGTTAACAAGTTAACATTCACTGAGGGCGCACCATGGGCCCGGCCGTCTCCCAGCGGCCTTCCTGTGGTCAGTTATAAACGAGGACACATGGTTGCTGGACAGACCGCCTCCCTGGAATGCGATCGCGAAGTGCAATCGTCCCAGCGATGGATTTTCTCAGTACTGGCAGAGGCCACATCCAGCTTCGAGAACAGCCTTCCTTGTCATGTTGCGCTCCCAGCTTAGGGGTGTGTTTGATGTCAGCTGAGGCTCTCCACTGTGAGCACCGGTAGGGAGAGTAAAGTTACAGGTGGGTTATGTTCCTCCAGCTAAGCACAGCCACGCATGTGGATGCCTTCTAATATTCTCGTAAGGCAAACAATACAGTTTATTGGGAGTTTAAGTAACTCCAAAAGGGGCAAACTTCCACTTACAAAATAAAAAAAAAAGTAAGTCCTGGGCTCATCATGCTGACTATATCATTAACGATACTATATTGCATGTTTGAAAGTTGCTAAAAGAGGGGCGCCTGGGTGGTTCAGTTGGTTAAGCGACTGCCTTCGGCTCAGGTCATGATCCCGGAGTCCTGGGATCGAGTCCCACATCGGGCTCCCAGCTCAGCAGGGAGCCTGCTTCTCCCTCTGACCTCTCCCCTCTCATGCTGTTTCTCTCTCTCTCTCAAATAAACAAAATATATTTAAAAAAAAGTTGCTAAAAGAGCTACAAGTTTCCATCACGAGGGAGAAAATATGTAACTCTATATGGTGATGGATGTTGTCTAGTTTTAGTGTGGTGATCCATTTGCAATGTATACAAATGTCAAATCATGATGGTGGACACCTGAAACTAATATGTTATCTGTCAATTATAGCTCAGTCGAAAGAATTTTTAGAAAATAGCCACGAGGTTTTTGCCAGTAATATATAAGCACAGAGTGGATCTTTGAGTAGTGAATGAAAAATATGAAAAGAATACGGCAGAGGGACACTAATCACTAACGAACCCCATGCTAAAATTCCTGATTCTTCTACATGTTCAGAGTACTTGTTAATAATGAGCTGACGATACACTGCCCTGGGGAGCGGAGGTTTTATCTTAGCTTAAACTCCAGATGTGCAAGTAAACACTATAAAAAATGAAATGGGTGACCAACAACTTCTAGCTTTTCAAAATAGAGGAATTATTCCTCAGTTTATCACCAGGGTATGTCAATGGCAGGAAGAGCCATGGAAATAAAAATATTAAAGGAGTAATCAAGCTCATGGCGGGGATGATGGTTAAACCCAGGTGAAAACACTGCTAGAATATGGAGTCTCCACAGGGTGGCCCGCTTCTGGCCTCTGAAAGGGGGCAGTTCAGTGATCTGACCTTCCCCCCAGGACCCTGGGACCCACTGAGGAGAGATGCCCACAGTAGCCATTTCCTCCCCAGCTCCTCGGGCACCCTAAGTTCCCCCTGAGACAGTTTGCTTGGCTTAAGGCTACTTTATTTCCCACTTTCCCTTTCAAGCCAGCGTCACAGGAACCTCATATGCAAATGGCTACAAAGCCTTTCAGTGAAGCCTGAAGCCTTCCAGAACACAGAACTCCTTAACCTACAAAACCCCACTTCCCTTAAGATAGGGGCAGCTGTCTTGGTTTCTCTTTGGAAAGAGGGGAAGTATAAAATATTTATATTCATTAAATAGAATCATTTGTCCTAAAATAACACGTCAGCTTACCTCTGGGAAGAAAGTCTCATGTGCGATGAGCACCCCCATCTGCTTATACTTTGCTTAGGTATAAGGTGCCTGCCTTCTGGGGAAAGTCTTCCAAAAGACGTGACTGCCAGTTGATCCAGGAGCCGAACCCAGAGGCTTCTCAGCCCCTCCCTGTCCTTGGAATGTGGGTCTCGTTACCCTCTCCTGCTCCTAGAGGCTACCCCAAGGACACAGCCTCCAGATAATGATGTGGTGCTGAGAACAACTGCACGGTCTACTCGACTGAATCCACTTAAGGCCTCTCTCTATATAAACTACTAAGATCTGGCGAACAGGTGTAGGGATCCATTTGATCCATTTGATCCAGGGATCCGGATGGGTCTTGTATGTAAGTTCCCTTTGCGTATTAAACCTGCCGCCAGGGATGCCTGGGTGGCTCAGTCGGTTAAACGGCTGCCTTCCACTCAGGTCATGATCCCAGGGTCCTGGGATCAAGTCCCACATCCTGCTGCTTGCTCAGAGGGGAGCCTGCTTCTCCCTCTGCCTGCCTCTCCCCCGGCTTGTGCTTTCGCTTTCTCAAATAAATAAATAAAAAACAAACTAACACCTCTCACCCACCAACCTGGAGAGGGCTGCCTCTTTCTTTGGCCTCCCCCTGACCTCCGTGTATGTGAGCCAGTTTCAGATTATATTTGGGAGGCTCCCACGAGCATTGAGAACCAACATGGTCTGGCCAAATCATCCCCTCGGTGAACAGGCGGGGGCCACGCTGTTCCCTCACCAGGCTCGGTCACCAAAGCCGTGTTCTCGACTCCCGAGGCTCACCCCAGGCCTTGTTTCAGGACATCCGTTGCACTCGATCTACGTAGCTCTGTCGTGTGATGATGCAGATGTGATTCGGGAGCCTGCCAGCACCACGGCGGACTGCCCCGGCCCTGGGCGGGCACAGCCTGGACCTGTGGCCTATCTGTTTCCCATTTAGTGACACCTGGTAAATAGTGGCCAACAGGGCTCACGGAGGACCTGTGTCACCTGGGGCTCTGCAAACCAGCTTTCATAAGGCTGCTCTCTTTTCGGACACTCAGGGGGGCAGTGAGGACAGACACCCAGTGTCTGCTGGGGTGTGTTGTGTGTGCAGCGCAAGACACACCTCTCCAGCCCACACTCACTGTGCAGCAGGCTGGTGTGTGGGGCCACACCTAGGCAGCGGAGAGAGTTTGGGCTGGAGACACACTTATTTTGGGTGGGAATATGTCAGCTTCCTTTGCATTAGCTCTATCCATGCATCCGTCTGTCCGTCCATCCATCCATCCATCCATCCATCCATCCATCCATCCAATACTTAAGGTGTGCCTGTTACGTCCCTGTTATTTACCCACATGATTCCAGGCATCAGGAAAGCAAAGAGGAGCAAGACAGAGTTCTTGCCTTCGAAACACTCGCAGGCCAGTGTTGGAAGTAGACACAGAAATACGTCATTGCAGTGCCATGTGAGAAGTGCCCCAGGGAGGGCAGGTTGTTGGGTGCAGTGGGCGTGCGGAAGGCTATTGGCTGCGGGTGATGACAGAAGGGAGAAGGAGAGCCAGGGTGGAAGGTCTCACCCACTCCCGGGTCTCCAGGGACCCCCGAGGCAGCACTAGGGAGCATCGCCTGTCCTGCTGAGCCATTTGCAGGAGCACTTCATCCCCAAAGGGCAAGGAGCAGGTGGTCCTCCCAAGAGCCGCTGGCTGATATGGCCACAGCTTCCTCTTTGTCACTTCCACATGGTACCCTCGTCCATGGACAGGAACTGCTGCAAGGCCCTCTCTAGCCATGGATGAGTAGCTCTGGAGATGGGGTCAGTAGCCTGTGCACACCAGGGGGACAACCCACAGCCCCATCCTGCGGGCAGCGGCTACAGCGACACTCCCAGCCAGCCTGTTGGAGGAGCAGGGGGCGAGACAGGGACAGGTCTGTTCCCACAGGTGTGTGCACCTGCCTTCCCCGCCCCCACCCCTGCCAGGCACAGCCCGTACCCGTGACCCTCAATAGAAGGGAGTTACTCCATAGTCACCACAGTGGTGAACAGGAACCAAGTAGCTTCCCATTTTCAAGGTTCTGCGATTGGCAATGTGGGGACAATCTTTCCCCATCTCTCAAAACTAGAAATTCTTTTCATTGTAAAGGTAATGCATGCTTACAATAAAGCACTCTAAAGACAGTGGAGAATAGTCTACAATGGAAAGTTAAAATCCTTCTCACTAGCCCCGCTACCACCACCACCACCCCACCATCCCCCACCTTGAGCCACTGTGAAGAATTTCTTGTGTCTCCTTCCAGGCATTCCCTATGTGCGAATACATGTGCTTGATTGTTCCAAATAGGTAGTAGGATACGCAGTGTTCTGTGACTTCCCTATTCACTTATCTGTGCGTTTTGGACATATTTCTGTGTTACTCTGGATAACCCGATCTCCTTTTTGTTTTTACCAGTCCTTCATCTCTTTTTAAAGGCAACTGATTGCCCTAAACCAGAAATGGCTGGGGGCTGTCCACCTCCTTCATAGTGAGAAGAGGCAACAGATAGAAGCAGAAATAGCATTAGTCAGATCAAGCTCAGAATTCTGGCCTGCTAGCTGTGTGGTCTTTGGAAGTGTCTTAACCTTCTCTGGGCTCAGATGACACATCAGTAAAAATATGATTATATACATGAATTAGGCTAAGGACCAGAGTGTAATAATTGCTCAGGAACTGTAGTTTTTCTTAAATGGAGAGACATTCAATATTGGTGTATTGCAAGCCTCAGTGTTAAGATGGTGATTCTCACGGCGCCTGGGTGGCTCAGTCTATTGAGCGTCCGACTCTTGGTTTCGGCTCAGGTCATGATCTTAGGGTCGTGAGATTGAGCCCCACATGGGCTCCTCGCTCAGCCGGGAGTCTGCTTGAGACTCTCTCCCTTTGCCGCCGCCCCCAAATAAATAAATAAATAAATCTTTAAAGAACAAAAAAGATGGTGATTCTTCCCACATTGATCTATGGATGCAACTAGATCCCTATCAACACCTCATAAGGTTCTTTCTTTTCCCCCCAGAAACTTTTTCAGTGATTCTCCCCTTGCTGCATGTTGGAATCACTTGTGAAGAGCCCAAAGGAATACAGATGCCTGATCCCAGCCTCAGAGGCTCTGATTTAAAACGGGGCTGAAACTGACAACACAGGTTGGTTAGGATCACCAGGCTGTGCCCGTGGGGTGGCTGTTAGCGGCATGCGCTGGAGTCACCTGGGACGTCTCCTCTCCTGAATACCTGGTGGTCGACGCCTGCTGTAGGCTGGGGCCTCAGCAGGGGCTACCAGGCCAGACACCTACACGTGGCCTCCCTGTGTGGCCTGGGCTTTCTCACGTCGTGGAAGCTGGGCTCCTAGAGAGAGAATCCAATGGGACCGGGGAAGCTATTTTATCTTGCATGGCCTAGCCTGAGGTATGACACGGTAGCCCCACTCTAGTCACAGGCCCCCTTAGATTCAAAGGGAGGGAACATAGGCCCTACTTCTCAGTGGGAGGGATGTCAACATCACATCAACACAAAATTGTAAGAAGCTGTGGGATGCAGGGCACCTGGGTGGCTTGGTCATTTAAGCATCCGCCTTTGGCTTAGGTCATGATCTCAGGATCCTGGGATGGAGCCCCGTGTTGGACTCTCTGCTTAGCAGGGAGCCCGCTTCTTCCTCTCCCACTACATATAGATTAAAGCCTGCTGTAAGGTAAAGAAATCCCAAACCCCAAAATCCCTGGGATGCATTATTTGCAATATATGGGACAAAAGGCTAGTTAACTTAAAAATATATAGGACATGGGGCACCTGGGTGGCTCAGTTGTTAAGCGTTTG